TGAATCCTTCTCCCAGCTCATCACCACCCAATGCCATCCCCAGGAGTCTGTTCTGATAGTATCTCCCACCGTGAGGGCAGATGTTGAGCAAACAGCTGAGATTCTGTCAAATTTATCCATGTGTGATGATACACCTGCTTTGGGTGTGTCACGGGCAGAGGAAAGGCTTGGAGGCGCGGATTCAATCAGTGCCGAAGAGATCAAGTGTGGTCACGGTCCAAATCTGAGGAATGTTTCTCCGGTCTCTGATAAGATACTGGTATGAATCTGTGATATGTTACTTTGGTCAACTTTGAAAAAGCACAGTTATTTTAGTAAAACGGTTATTTCTGATGTTTTAAGTTAGCTTGACCTATTTTTATAACTCTGGTGTTGCTTCGTTGTTTATTAGGAAACAGCCAAAGAGAAGGGGATCCTGGAGCAGTCTGAGATCACGCTGGTGAGCCTGACGGACTCTACGCTGCAGGACCAGGAGTCCACCAGCTCAGAGGAAGAGGGAGCTTGGATAATCAAGAATCCAGATGGAAGGGGTGAGGAAGGGCAGAAGGGCCAAGAGATGGAGGTGACTGTTCAGAAGTGACGTGACTGAGTTTTCATTCAGGTTTTCATTCAGGTTACTTTCTCATCTCTAAACATAAACATTTGCTTGTAGGGTGCAGAATCTACGTTGATACCGGAGGAGACTCCAGAGTACGACAGCCAAACACATCCAGGTAAAGCAAGTGGAACATATCTGCCTGAGTCAAACCATAGGCCTGAACAAGGAAGCAGGACTCTGAGCTCAGGGAGGTAACTTCAGGTTAAACTCTGAGTTTTAAAAGTCGTTCATGTCTTACTAGGGTACATCGCCATGGTAACTTATGCTGCAGGATAAGTGCTCCAGATCAGGTTATAATTGATATTACAGATCACGGACTACTGATCAAACATGTCACAGGATGATTCCTTCTGGAGGATCCCTCAGACCTCATTGTGCTGGTATTAAGGGGCTCTAAGATGGTTTACAGTTTCTGTTGATCATCAAAAAGCAATATAGTACTTTGAATTGCTTTGTAGTACAGACGTCA